TGTGATGCTTTCGCTTGTGCTGCAGTCCAGAGCTTTATGGGATGGAGAGTTCTGGATATTGGGCAATGAAAAAGGATGTGTTCAGTGTCCAATTTGACCAAACAAGAGGTACTCACTCAGGTCCATTCTGGTTTAGTGGTGTTTAGTGGAAAATAGCGTTGTTCCAAGTCTGACTCTAGCAAGTGTAACGCATTCCTCACGGAAAAAGTTGGGATTATAGTTCGGTCTTGATAGTGTTGTGTTGTGAACCCTTAAAAAGTTGCGAGCGATGCTCCACTCAGCTGACTTTGTTACAGATTGCTTAGCGAAGTAACATGAAATGATTGCTGTATCTATACATTGAGGCTCGTAGATTAGAGGAAGGCGTGCAGCTTCTTTCGTTGCGATGTCTGCCAATTCGTTTCCCAGTATACCAGCATGCCCTGGTACCCAGAGAATTTTTAGCGGCTTGGTGAGATTAGTATTGCCGAAAATGAAGTTAAATACGTTACCACTTTTCCTAGTTAGCACTTTAATAACGCTGAGGCTATCCGAGCAAATCAATGTTTTATGGTTGGTTTTCAAAATATGTTTGCATTATATACATAGATATATATATTGAATGAAAGGTCCTTCAATTACAATCCCAACTGTGTCCATAAAATCGGTCCAATAGTTTTCAAAATATAAGCTTTTGAAAATGTTGGAAATTCCACGTTTAGCCCCCCTAGCGCCGCCCCTGTCAATTTGAACCAAAAAAAAAAGTTTACCATTAAACTCAGAAGAAAGGGGTGCACCACGTCTACGTTTTCTTTTTTCTCTAGCTCAAGAGTCGGTATTCTTTAGATATGCCCACTGTAGTAAGCAACACTGAGGGCTCCAGAAATCTACAAAAATGATGCGTATACAGACTGCGTTTAAGTATACGTTCTGCGTTCTTGACTAATTTCAGCTTTAACTTGTTGAAAATTAAAGACGTCCGTCCACTTACATGTGCAAATACCAAAGTGATTTTTCTTCACAACATGCGTACAATTCAGTGTATCTTAACTTAGGGCGGGACCACACTTTACAACTTTTACATAGAGTGTTCAGTAACCGTATAGGTTTGATTATTACATGGGTAGGGGGATTTACTTCGAAGGCCTTGGGCTAAACCTCAGTTTTCGCTTACCGAACCATTGTAGCGTCTTTCAAGCAGAGCTAAACGCCATAATGGAGGCGGCTCGGTGGCTCATAACCTCCGCCTCTCCAGGACGGCCTATTGCCATCTATTCTGACATCCAGGCTGCTATCAAAACTCTCAAATCTAACAGAAAACGTCCATAGTAACCATCAAATCCTTGATTGTTGTATGGGTCCCTCGACATAGGGACATTCCTGGCAACTGCCTAGCCGACGAGCTGGCAAGGAAGGGGAAGGAAATATTTGAAGTCAATTCTGCTCAGAATGCGGGCATACCTGTAACCTGCAAACACACTCCACCATTGCGGCTGAACTCATCGAGGAGGTAAATACTTGGTGGGCTGTGGAAACCACCTGCCATACTACCAGGCAAATTTGGCCAAAAATTGATATAAGGCGATAAGGCTCTTACTAGGCTGGACCGCTCCTATCTCAGATTAGTAGTCAGGGTAATCACCGGACACTGCCTGCTGGGCACACACGGAAAAAAGTTAGGATATCCAACCAACGATTTTTGCCGCAGTTGCAGAGACGAGGAAGAGGTGGGAACATCGAACACTATCTCTGCCATTATCCCGTCCTGGCCAACATGCGCAACCAATGCTTCAAAAAGTACTTTCTAGATTGTTTGGCCGACTTGGACTCGGCGAGCGAAACAAATGGCTTTGACCAGTGGTATCACAACGGGCTTTTCCAGCCCACATGTGATAAGCGCTCTGCGCGGGCAGCCACTCTACATCAGGCAACCCTTTTCAAAAAACTAAAACCACATAAAAGTAAAGACCTCATTTTTGAAAATCGAACGAACGATACAGATTTGATGACATGAACAATCGCGGCGTTAAATATTTAACGCCTTAAATCACCGAACTCAATTAATAAGTCTCATTTTAATAAAAGTCCCATATAATTATTATGAGAAAACGTAAATCATTTCCGTCATAAAATAAACGTCCCACGAGACGAAAAAAAATAGAAATTCCATATAATTATTATGAGAACACGAAAATAATTTCCATCGTAAAATAATCGTGCCGTGAGACGAAAAAAATAAAAGTCCCAGATAATTATTAGAAGATGAAAAAGTTTTTAGTCTAACGATTTTCGTCTCAGAAGACCAAAACCGCTTTTCATTGTGCAGTAATAATTATACAGCAATATTTAATTTTATTATTTCTTATAATCGTCATTCTGACTACACACCGGGCAACCGTTGAAGCAACGTGTTGAGGCAACCTGTTTTTCTTCTTCAATATACACGAGGCAACCGTAGAGGCAACCATTACAGCAACCTCAGTAGTGTGTGCTCTGTTATGAAATGAAGATACGGAAGAAAATTTTGTTTTCTATCAAAACACCGTTTCAGCTCAACTGTTTTCAATGAGTTAAGCCAATAAACTCAATACACAACGATAAACAGGAGGCAACCGACACGGCAATCCACACAAAATATTTTGATACGTGTTGAGCCAACTTGTTTTTCTTCTTCAATACAAACGAGGCAACCATTGCGGCAACCTCAGTAGTGTGTGCTCTGTTATGAAATGAAGATATGGAAGAAAATTTTGTTTTCTACCAAAACACCTTTTCAGCTCAATTGTTTTCAATGAACTAAGCCAATAAACTCAATACACAACGACACACGCGAGGCAACCGACGCTGCAAGCAACACAATACATCAAAATATTTTGATTTTCGGGCAGTGTTCCGACTATATGGAGGCAGACGGAAACAATAGTTAACCTGCTCCGATTTCGCTGAAACTTGGCATGTGCTCTAACTTTACTTAGGAATAGGGAATTATGAAATTTGGTAACTCTTGTGGGCGGAAGCATAAAATTTCCTCCGATTTCGATGAAATTTATTTTGTGCTCTCTATTTTATTAGAAAAATCTAAATATAAAATATGGGGAAGATCGGATAACTATAACGTCTGCAACTCGCAAAATATATGGGCCCATCATTAAATGTTATGGAATTTCGGTTAATTTTTGGTTCCTGCTTTCCACTCTCAGGAAACAAAGCTTATACTTCAAAATTGCATAGGTGTATATATTCTCTTTTCCATCAATGTTTGGTGAGATTTTTCCATTGTTCGAAAAATGTATTAGCGAAATTACGCAAAAAGAAGTTGAAAATCAAAAATTAAGAAAATGTAAAATGACATATATTTGCAAAGTCACACGAAATGATCCAATTATATATTCGAAAGCTACATACAATTCTCTTAATCATACGTCTAATTTCAAGACATAATTTCAGATACATTTCAAAGTCAATTCTTTGAGAAGAAAAATAGGAAAATTCCAAATAAATCATAAATACTTTCACCTGAAAATTCCACGACACTTAAAGTATTGATTTTTTGTGAAATGTACCGTTCGTGGAGAAGAGGGGTGAGTAAATGAAGTGAAATTTTATATTTATGACTTTTACTTTTCCCTCTCGAAGCCCAACTGGTTTACTTTAGTAACTGTCACCATGACTTTTTTCCACCTGCCTCCATATAGTCGAAACACTGTGCGACGGTTGCGGCAACACGAATTTCTATGAGCACAATGTTATGGGCTGCTTTTGCTTTCTTGTAAAAGCACATTTAGCGCATTTAGCTCTAAATGCTACTCTAAATGTACATTTATCCATACGAAATTCGTCACCTAAATGTAACTAAATGCAACTCCGTTTTTGCATTAAGAATCTAAATGCTAAAAGCAACCCTGTGATCTTCCAAAATTTCCAGGATTCGAACATGGTTTAATGAGAAAAAGTGGCAACATTGCTTTTTCGCGTATACAGTGGCTAGCTGCGTTTCAGTGATCGCCGATTGAGATTTCATTTATTATTTTACATTATTTGGATTAAGAAAATTTACGCAAATTCAACATCGACGTGATGCTGATAGAAATCTGGATCAATTTCTGATCAACTCTGTTTGTTTTGTTTCCTAATTAAGTGAGGAAATTTTAATTGACAGCACCGACAAATGAATATATACACAAACAAATGTTCGGTTATGGTTAAAACAATTCAAGTTTTTGTATTGAATTTTTGGTTTAAAATTTATTTTTTCCTTTCCTGTAGGTTTTTTTGCACATTATCTTCTGCGTGAGAATTGATCGTAGTAGATACGGATCTGAATAAGCGAATGGAACACGGCTGTTTGTTAAAAGCATACGATTGCGAACTCGCGTAAATGTGCATTTGCTAAATGCGATAGCATGAACGCTCTTCGAAAACATATGTTCGAAAGTGCTAAATGTTGCATTTTAAATGCAGCAAAAACGCTACATTACATACGAGACAACGGTTGAAGCAACATGCCCTGGATGCTTCTACGTTTGCCTCGTGTGTAGTCAGCATGGTCTCTGGTTGAAATGTCTTTTAAAATAAGAGAAAATTTCCCTATAAGTTATTTCGCCACGTACCAAGTGTACCTTAAATAATGTGCTTGTACCGAATGTACGTTCAAATTTAAGAAGCTGAAGAGTAATTACAAGTCTACCTAGTTTTACATCACTTTTTCGAACCACTTGTTCGCTTCTTCCTTTTATTCTTTAAAATTATTCTTTATACTCTCATTCTCATAACAATGTGACGACACACCCAGTTGCTCTCTGCTCGATTGGCGCAATCTTGTTCTCTATCATTCTTGCGTCATAACCGTCTTATTTTCATAGAGTAGATTTTAAAGCGTTGAAAAATGTTTGGTTGTTGTTGTAAATCACCTAAACACTTGTAAAAGCTTTAAAGTTTTCCATTATGATACTATCGTTGAGAAACATTGTGAACCCCCGGATACTCGTATAAAAATATTTAATAGTATGAATATTACTAACCTTAACATGTTAGAGCCACGTTTTCCATAGTTCCAAAAGTTTTCATGCTCGAGTATTGTACGCAATATTATATGGGATTTTGAAGAAAGCTCCGTGGTCTTAGTATGTTTAGTGAAAAAGGAAAGCATCTCAAGACTCCCATAAATCAAGTTGTGATAAAGACTGCTATCTTCTGTGCTTTGCTTATCTAATTTTTTTGGCGGCCTCGAAAGAATGTCGTGTATATGATCCAGAATCTCAAGCTGGCAGTGCAAGCAAACTTCTTGAATACGATTGGATTTAGCATTAAAAATGTCATAAAAACTTGAACGGGCAATTTTGGCAGCAGGAGCATAATTATCAAACTGAGAAAATAGCCAAACAGGTACCAACTGTTTCAAGTAAGGCGCCATCATACGTTTACATTTCAATGCTAACACTTTCTGTACCTCCTGTGTTAGCTCCCGTACGTTATGAGCCGGATTGTGGGCAAGATCGAGATAGATTTTAGACCACAATGATAAGATTTGTCCCACCTCTTCAAGACTAGCGTAATTTATATCGTCTATCAATTCTTCCAATGCCTTTTTTTTGGTAATTGGATCCTTTTTATTTAGTTTCCGCATCGCGTTATGAAGGTTTGTGTTAGGTGTGCATTCATTTATATGGTATTCACTAGATGTCACTCTTTTATTCGATACATTTTTGTTTTTTAATTGTGTGGGAAAGCAAATTGAGCTCTGACAACCCAGTGACTCCGCACTACGACTACTACTGGATGGCTGAAATAATAAATAATTTTTGTAATATCCGTAAAAATATGCATGTACTACGAACATTGTACATTTAATTAAGAGTAAATAACTTTATCCCGCTTTTAATTTGTAACAATACTCTTGGCAGTTACTCCTAAAAAGTTTGATAAAAATTGTTAACAATGTGTAATCTACTGAGCGATGCACAGTAGTTCAGAGCAGAGACTGGCATGCGTTGAACGCCAACTATTGCATACTCAATCGATGCTGCTGCTTTGTATGACTGAGCAGCGCGTTGACTTAATGACAATGAAGAAGTGTAATTTATTTGCCAATTTACAAATGTGTTTTGTGTAAGTTACTTTATTTTAGGTACATAGCACGTTAAAAGTTTCGTGAAGATTTGAGCACTCGAAATTAGGTCACCATTGATGGAATTGAAGAGCTTCATATTCGTACTCTGCCCTAGATTAGCATTTAAGTTGCATTGCAAAATATATCACATAGATAAAAATGTATATCACACTGAATAAAGAAAAATATACATATTTAAATTATAAAATAATAAAATTCTATTGCAAAACAAATCCAAATTAACGCTTTTGTTTTGGTTTTCTAGCTCAATAATAATGCTCTCAGTGAAGCATTTTCTGTTCACGAAAATCTTGATGATGTGTTCCAAAATTAGCTCCGAGCAACTTAAAATTTTGGCTGAAGTGAATTAACTTCTTACTGCTCTTGTTAATTAAAAAAAAAAGAAAAAAGTCTAATTTCGGCGAAGCCGAACATTAAATACCCGGCACACGTATTAAATATAGTTTCTTCACCTTTTCGAAAACTACCGTTACATGGTAAACAGGGAGGGTTTTACTCCTATTTCACACATCTTCGCTGGTATGTCAGTTAGACTTAATGAGATGATCTTACATACATAAACTGACCAGAATATGTTTCCGTACAGTGTTTTTTTAATATTTGCAATGTTTTTCGTAATAAATTTTGTTCGTTAATTTTTAATAGGAATATAGTTCATGTTTTGTTTTTGTTTTTGGCCTTTGAATTTTAAATGATGAACCATTTTTAACAAGCTCGAGGCCCAGCAACCAGTCGACCAGGCACAATCAAGAGTTCCTGAAGATGACCTCAGATTGAGGTCGTTGATTTTTGAGATTTTTTTTTGCTGATGATGTTTCAAATTTTCCCCATATAATGGATGCATTGTAGAAATTAGAAGTGCCTTATTTGTATAGACTTGCTATTTTATTGCAAAACGGAAAACTTCTACACGTCGGTATAACAAAAGTCTAACAGCCCTATTCGCGTGTTATCACAGTCAGTTGTCACAATTCAATTGTCATTATCGTGTCATCAACTGTTGTCATAGGTATGCACATTCAATAATGACAAGCGAAAACTTCGTTTTATTTGCCAATTGCGGCGAAAGTTTCTCTATGGTAAAACAGCTGTTCTTTGTTTACATTTTAGTTGTTCTTTTTGACCGCCACTGCAACAGACGGGATTTCTTTTAAATAAAATACACCACAGCAATGGATTACGAAACGCCGGAAAAGTGAGTAATTTTATAATAGGAAAATTTATTTCAATTTATTATGAATTCGTCTAGTAACAGGCGTGGAAAATATGAGTGCACCACACAAGAGCAGCAGCAGTTTTGTGAAGACCACCCCGAACTGCAAACGTGTAAAAACTGTCCAAAAAACTGTCGTCTCAGAGTGCCCTCAGAAATCTTCTTCTCTTTTTAATTTCTTCTTGCTCCACAATAATAGCCGCGTATATAATAATTATTTCCTCCACGAATAATATTCTGCAATGGATACTATTATGATTACAGTGACCATCCGTCCTGTATTATACGGGACAGTCCTCTTTTTTGACCCATTGTCCTGGTAATTTATTTATTTTATACGGGACGCCAAATATTATGTATTTCTTTTAATGTCCTGTATTTGTCCCGTATTCGATGTTTCGACGCCTTAACAGCTCGTTAAAATGTCATGCCTATGACAAGTTTTAAGTGATGTTGGTATATGATCGTAATTTTCTTTATAAACAGTTATAATTTTTTTATCTGAGAATAGAGATGTTGTGAATATCATCTATTTTCCGAATTGGGTAGTGCATTATCAAGCGTTGATTCACCCCTACCTTGTAGTCTACGCATAAGCGGACTCCTCCGTCTGCCTTTGGAATTACGAAGAGAGGAGAACCCTAGTCGCTGTTTGTAATTTTTGTAATTATGCCTGCTCTTTCTAAATCATCAATTTCCTTGTTAACTCGTTCTGTTAATGTGTGCGGAACCTGTCGCTCCTTCATGTATACCGGCGTTGGACCTTCACGAACCTTGAGCTTGGTGTACGTTTTGAATACTAGATTTGTTTGAGATGATCGCGCAGACTTAGTTTGTAGAAGATGCCTCGTGGCAGGAAAGTAAATCCTGAGCCTGTGTCAACTTCGAATGTTATTGATTGACCTTCTATTTTAACGTTGGCGTAATAACGCTCTGATCTGGAAACTTGCAGTACATCTCGACGCCTATTAGTAATCCTGCAAACGTCGTAGTCGATGCTTTGAATCTGATGTACCTTTTTAGTTGACTTACTTTTCCCCGAGGCGAGTTGAAATGCACACTTTGTTGACGTGTCCTGATTTGTTAAAGTGGGAGCACCACAGGTTCGACTTGTTGACGCGGCACTCTTTGGTCATGTGGTTAGACCTACCACATCGGATGCACAGGCATTCCATACCCAGTTCTTTCCAATTAATTTTGATGATGGGTTGGGCGTTTCCCTTTCTTGAACTTCGAAATTTTGTTGATATCTGGAGTGCCGCCCTCACTGGTATTTGCCACTCGCGTGTTCAGCTCTTTAGCGTTCAACCTAGCGGATTCAAGAGAAAGAGCTTTTGCGACTATTTCATCAAAAGTTGCTGTACTTGGCTGTAGTAGCTGCTGTTGTTGTTGTTGTTGTAGCGGCTACAACAACCCCGCCCAGATCGGTTGATATCTCAGTCGTTGTCGTCGAGTTCCTCTAACGGCAGCCCTAAGCGTGCAGCCTCTACGGGGTCGGTCCACAGGAACAACGCCGTTAGGGTTGTCTAGTTTTCCGGGCATGCGAAGAGATGTTTCGAGTCGTGAGGGGTCTCTCCGCATGCCGGACACTACAAGTATCTCAGAAGTTGTAGTAGCTGCTCTCTGATGCTGGTGTCCTGGATACCTCTAATTACTTGTGCGCGCAGAAAAATGTCTGCCACCGATTCGCACTCGTTTATTTCAGCGCGTAAGGATGCCACGTACTCAGTTACGGATTGCCCTTCACGTTGAAATTTTGATAGAAAACGATGTTGTGCAACTCACACATTCGTTTTCGGTGATAAATGTTCTTTAAGAATTCGCACTAATTCTTCATAGGTTATGTCGCCTGGAGTATTCGGTGCCGTAACCGTATTGAAAGCTTTTGCTCCTATTCAGTTCAGCAGAAATTTTTTTACAATATTCCTTATCTGCTTTAATAGTTTTCATTTCGATGTAGTTTTCGAAACATTGAATATAATTTTCGAAAGATTCCTTCGACGAATCGAACGTATCGAAATTCGGAACAATGGCGGCTGTCGCTGGTGTAGTGCACGCTGCGTTTGCGTTTGATGTGAGTTTCAGGATTTCACCCAATATTTGCTGTTGCATAGCTAAAAATCCCCTAAATTCGGCGCCGTCCATGTTAATGCCGAATTTTCCTTTTACACTCGTCGCCAATCTATAAGTGCCTTATTTGTATAGACTTGCTATTTTATTGCAATACGGAAAACTTCAAGACGTCGGTATAATAAAAGTCTAATTCACAAGATAAAAATACCACTCACAGCCAACTTGCTGCTTTTACTAATAGCGGGGTTACAATAGATCGTTTTACTAATAGCAGGGTTACAATAGGATGCGCGATAGTTTTTTTGTATGGACAAAAATACCAAAGAGCGTCAGTAAAAAGATTTTTTCAAAAGTTGAAAATTTTCGTGAAAATTTGTTAAATTTTCGTAAAATTCGAGTCATTATCATATCGTTTATATGCCATTTGATGCAGAAAAAAAATCTATCTATAAAAAACATTGAAAATATACAAAAAAACAAAAACACTGTACGGAAACACATTCTGGTGAGCGTATATAGTTATAAGTGGGCAGTATCACGTCCATTTTCGCGAATTCCATAATAATGTTACTTCTTTCCAAGTGATTGTTGTGAGTAAGCATCAATTTTGAGTAAATTAGCGTTCCGAAATATCGAAGCTTCAAACATTTCTGAAATTTATCTTTCATAACATAACACTCCACTTAACAGTTTACATTCTTTTATTTTATTTTAATTGTATAAAAATTACTTTAATCCAACTTATATTAACTTGTTAATTACATTAAATTGCATCCATATTCACAATAACACATGGTTGCAAACTGACACACAAGGTGTGCTGCCTTACTGTATAAAACAATACACACAAAGAAGGCAATGCATAAAAAGGAAATGAAACACAGAAAGGAGAATTATACTTAGCAAGAGTTATAATCCCTTTGCGCGGATGAAGGCTGCCTACGCAGAAATGTGTTCTAGGCAAAAGGCGTTCGGCTCCTCTTCTTTGGCAACACAGGAAGGAGAATTCTACTTACAGGCCTATTCTGCTTGTAACCGAATATTTTGTAACAAGCTAATTTTGTTACCAACAATTGTCACCACTTCTTGTAACCCCAATTCTCTTTACCTTGGTAATTTACACAGCAATTCAGCTATGGAGTTTTGTGTAAATTCTGGTGTTGCATATTTCACGGGGCAATATTTTGTTACCTGCTCATGAGATGGTAACAAAATTTACCGGTCATAAGAGAATACGAAATGGGTTTAAAAATTGACAGTAACTTTACTAATGCAGAATAGGCCTGTTAGTGGGGGTTATAATCCCTAAGTGCGGACGAAGGCCGCCTACACAGAACGGTGTACTATGCAAAGGTGCTCCGCCCCTTTTCTTCGGCAACACAGAAAGG